CTTTTTGCTTTAGTTATGGATGGTCTTACTGGACATTTACAGGAGGATGTACCTTGGTGTATGTTTTTTGTTGATGATATCCTTCTCGTGGATAAAACGAGAGAAAAAACCAAGGAAAAACTTGAATTATGGAGGTCTACATTGGAGTTCAAAGGTCTTCATTTTAAGTAGAACTAAAACTGAATGCATGGAATGTAATTTTAGTAGTAATAGATCTAGTGACAGAAGTGTGACTTTGGTTGATCAAATTATTAAAAGGCCTGAACGTTTTAGATATCTTGGGTCTGTTGTTCAAAGCGATGATGATATAGATGGGGATGTTAATAGTAGAATAAGTTGGTTGGTTGAAGTGGAGGAATGCTTCGGGATGGCTGGACTGAAAGGAAAATTTTATAAGACGGTGGTGAGACCTGCAATGCTCTATGGCGTTGCATGTTGGCCTTTAAAAGAGAAGTATAATAATAAGTTAAGTGTTGCCGAGATGAGAATGATTAGGTGGATGAGTGGCTTTACACTTAGAGACAAAATGCGAAATGCATATATCCGTGATAGAGTTGGTGTAGCTCCTGTGACGGACAAAATTAGAGAAAGTCGTCTTAGATGGTTTGGTCACATTAAACATCGACCATCTGATGATCCAATTAGGAGAGTAGATGTTTTAGATTCGACTTGTGTTAAGAAAGGCAGAGATAGACCTAGGAAGACTTGAGCTTATTGTATAAAAAATGGTCTTAATTTACTAGAACTAAATGAAAATATGACACTAAATATGACGCAATGGAGAAAAAGGATTCATGTAGCCGACCACACATAGTGGGATTAAAGCTTTGTTGTTGTTGTTGTTGTTGTTGTAGTCACATTGCTTTAACAATGTCAATCAGATAAATAAGAAGATCGGAACATCTAAGATCAATAGAATCTTAACTAAAATAATAACACAGACTGACTACAAAATGAGTTGTCATATGAAATTTGAAATTTAAGTAGACTGCTAAAATAAATCAATTCGAGGGCTTGTACATGTCCAGTAAATAAGAAGGCTAAAGAACAAATGATAGGGTTTTGAAATGCTACAGCTGTTGTACAAGAGAGTTGTTTTGATTAATGGCATGGTAATACACAACCTGTGAAGAAAGCTAAATAAAGTGTTTTAAATTACTTTCCTTATTTTCATAAGTCCTGTACCACAACCGCCCTCATGCTGATAATATTCCACAAATTTTATGGAAAGCTGTTGCTCAATCCCGAAATTACTAAAAGCTTTATAATTAAAAATTATAAAGGCAACAAAGTTCAACATCTCTCAGATGAAGTCAATTACATCTGAATTTTCAAGACAAGCAGATTGAAGACAAATGCAACAAAAAAACAAACCTCTCAGGGAGAATTAAGTTTGTAAGAGTTAAGTTATAGTTTAACATAAAAATTCTGAAGAAAATTTACGACAATGTTTAAAGTTGCGCCAGGAAAGCTATTAGATTAACAAAAGGTTTAGACGTCATTATGCACAGTGTAGTAAAAAGAACAATCTAGGAAGAAAATATATAATACTACCAAATAAAAGGAGTAAAATTACATAGAAAAGTAAAAGAAAACAAAAAACATCATACCCGTCAGGGAAATGATAACCTTTTCCAGGCTTTAAATGAGATAAGCCAACATTGTGCATACAAATATCCAATAAATGGCCAGCAGAATGAATCCTGCAACATCCCGTATAACAATTCATGGATTCAAATGATGCAACTATATGAAATAAAGACTTCTAAATTGTAATTTACTGGTAGTAGGTCATAGATAGTCAAATGAAACCATAAGTCATATTTAATGTAAATCATCTGCACAAAGAGTTGTTCAAAATTCTCTACATGTAACTACCTATAATTGGGGATATTCTCAAAATCTAGTGCCTCTGAGCATAACCGCTATGCATAAAAGCCGTGTACAAGCAAGATAAATAGACTATTAACAATTAAATGGCACAAAAGAGAGAGAGGTGCTAGAGAGGCAAAAAATCGAGCCAAACATGAACACACCGATCCCGTGAAATTTCAAACACACGCCAATTTTGAACAAAATTAAATTTAAACGAGCCGAATATGAGCCACGCGTCAGCTTACTTGAGCTATGTTCATTGACGACCCTAAATTGTTTGTTGCTTTGTCAGATTTAACTTGTTTTTCATATTCTTGTTTGTGTTCAGCTAGAAATTTGCTTATTTAATTTAACTAGAAAGAAGATTTAGGAAGTTGGATTCAAACCTGCATGATTCATATGCAATAAAAAACTCAAAATCACATGACTACATGAGCAGTGGTGATTTAAAATTAGATATAAATACATATAATCTATTATTATATAAACAATATATATAATTTATATTTTTTGCTAAAACGAGCCAAACCTGATCGAACAAAGAGTTGTTTGTGTTCGACTCGCTTATAATTCGAGCTTAAAAAATTTGATCGTGTTCAGCTCGCTTATTTAATGAACAATTCAAAAAAGAGCTACTTAATGAGCCAAACTCGAGTTGTTAGCAAATAACAAGTTTTTTTAACAACCCTAAAGCACTTCCTAAACTCAACATGAAAGAAATAGACTTGAGGAAGCTATGATGATGACCTTAAATTAGCCAAGAAATAAGATCCTATGCTAAGAAAAGCAATTGATTGATGAGGTGAGTGCTTGATAAGTCGTGAAAGATCATACAAAGAGGTTACAAAAAAGAAAAATAATGGCAACAGTCATACCGGCTTTCTATTTTTTTTGGAGGTGAGTGGGGTTAAGGTTTTAGACCATGGACCTCTACTTAGAAGATTAAAGAAGACAACACACAACCAAGTAGTTGGTGGTGACATATACCAGCTATTACTCATAGAACCTTCTATAATATATTTTTTTTTCTAAAATTATAAAAATGTTATTGGGTCCCTTAAGAAGGATTTTGTGCCTAATCTAGAAACATTTTTCTTAATAAAAAAAAAATAATCCAAATATGTTTAGGCCATCATGAGAAAATAGCTAAAGGATCCTTTAGAAAATTTTTAATTTTAAAAACTTACTTAAGTTAGACAATAAAAAGAGCAGTAACAAAATACCTATGTAATTTCACATTTTATAAAGCTGAAACATTTTATGCCAGACACATCCGGTTTTCATTGATGACATTGAAATGGATAATTACTGATCCATATATGCAAATCAGATTTACTCAATTTTGAAGAAATCTTGTTTAAAACGAGTCCTGAGTTCTAGACAGCTTTGTTGAGTTACCTTAACAAAATGGCTTAAGCACCAAAACTTTGGGCAGCCTAGTTTGATTGCAAATCCAGAAATTTGAAACTGTATAAAAAATTTTAGATATCACTTTCCTTATCAGCATAAAATCTCAATCTTACACTTATAATTCATATAGAAATAATGTCTTAATAAAAAGTGATACTTCACTGAACTAAACAAATAACATGAAGTACGAAATTGATCTTCATTCATATAGAAATAATGTTTTAATAAAAAGTGATACTTCACTGAACTTGACAAATAACATGAAATACGAAATTGCTCAGTTTTATTCCATTATTTGACCCATATATTCACAACTCCAGTAAAATTACATAATATTAAGTATATATAATCAATAGCAAAAATTTTGCTACACACTTAATTACAATAAAATCCACGCACACAAATTAATGAGGTGGCATTTATAAACACACGGATCGATGAGGTTACATGCAAGGAGCCGATCTAGCTAAAATTCATGGAGATTAATTTCGTGAGAACATGGATTGATGAAGTGGCATGAAAGAGGCCGATCTAGCCATAATTCATTGAGATTGGTTCCTAATTTATTATATGCATTAATATCTAACCTTAAATTGATGTTAGTTAGTCAAGAAGCATCAATTTGCTAACAAAAAAAAATGATGTCATTGTCTGTTCAATGTCTTCATAAATATATTTGCAATGTAAAAATTCATAGAGATGTGAAAAAGAGAAATCATATGAGTATTGGAGGCTTCCTGAATTCAAAGACAATCAAGTGTAATATGTGTGTTACACCTGCTTGATAGCAAGATGTCACTTAATACTACCAAAATGAAGAGTGAGATTTTCTTGAGGAAAATTGAGTTCAGATAAAATTCTATATTGCCAAATAATTTTGTACATGTTGGCATTTTACGATATTAATATTACATAGATGATTTAGAAACTAAAGTTATTTCTTACACTTAAATGAGATCAAGGAATTACAAAATTTTATACACCATTTTGTGACAGATCAACAAGTGTCAAGACAACCTACTAACATGCATAGGAAATGTGTTGATTAGGCATTTAATTTTAATCATTTCTATGTTAATTTTACGTTTTTTGGAGGTTTATGTGATGTGATTGCAAGATTCAGGGAAGATGATTCATTGGAGCTGGAAATCCATAATTGTGCTAGTGTGGGAGTAGTGACTAGGCACCAACTCTGGGCGCCTAGGCGCCCATGGAGGCTTATTTTCAGAAGTTTTTGTCACCAGACAGAGATCACAAAAAGTAGAGTGGCACTTAGGCACTACATCCGGGCGCCTAGGCGCCGAAAGAGGGGTCAACTCCAACAATTTTTCATCCACCGGACATAGAGCATTGAAAATGGGCGACTTGATAGTGACACCTAGGCACCACAGTCTAAGCACCTAACTTCCTATTTCATGCTTAGCGCCTAGGCGTCAATTCATGCACTTTGGTGGTTTCTACAGTTCATACATGATGTTTTGCAAAGAGAATTATAAGGCGTAGAACAACGAAATGAAGATTTTTATACTGTTCTTGCACGCAATTTTAGAGAGCAAACATCCTTTTGGAGAAAATCAGCGAAGAACACCCATCCAACAAGTTCTTGAGAAAATAGTGTTTGTGAGAGTTTGTGAGACTTTGTGCTTGTATTTTCATCATTCCATTCAAAATAGGAAGAAAATAAGTATTCAAAGTTGCTAGAATTTCATTGGATTTAATCCGTTAAACTTCTAGTGTATGATAACCCATTTCAATAAAATGTTTGTGTTGATGTGTACAAGCATGTGCCGTGAGTGATTCTTCATTTCTCCTTTGAATTGGAATTATGATAATGATAGAATTAAATTGATTATGTGATTTGCATTGGAATTCATGAATAGTGTTGAGTTGTCCTTACAAACTTAATTTACTTTTTTTTCTTGGCCAGTAGAAAAGTTAATACTCATCGTGAATTTTGAGGTCTGGGACGATACTTAGTGGAACGTTTAGGTTAACCACACCGATTTAGGGGAATAGGGATATTGCTTTTACATTTGTGCAAATTTGAAGGGAGGAGTTTTATCTTGGATTGCTCACTAGATTTAGAGAACTAACCTAGTAATGGCTGATCTTTTTTAGACGCCTAGAAGGAGATATGAAAGAGTGTGAATCACCTACTCAATTATAAATTCCGAAAAACCAATTCAAGGAAGAATTTTCTTGCATCTAGTCTCTTGATAAGCTCACCTAGCTAGCTTAGGAAATCTTGTTTTTGAAAATAAAGATAGAGAGTTTACTTAAAACAGAAAACTTCGCGCTTTTAGGTTAGGACCGACGTCAGTAAATTAGAACTTTTTCATGTTAAAATTTAGCTCGCTCCCTGTAGAATAGATAAATGAAACTTAATTTTGTGTACAGCTTGTACAACACATATACTTGCGTGATTCATCACTGCATCATCACATTTGGTTCGTATCAAATTTTTTGCAACATTGCCGAGGAGCGATGTTGAATTCCAAATTAAAAAAATTTTAGTCGAAACATTTGGGTCTAGACTAGAAAACTATAGTGTACGCATCATTTGCAGTTTAGTTTTCATTTACAGTTCTTATAAAAAAAATAAAAAATATTATGTTGTGTGTTCTATTTATTACAAATTTCGTGCACTTGTGTTATTTTATTTCGACTATTGTAAATCATTGTATGATCTATCTACTTTGTCATTTCAGCACGTTTGTCAACTTAAATTTCCTGCTTTTGGTAATTTGTTTGCTTGTATTTATTTTAATCTGTTAGCTTAGGTCAATTTGCTAGATCACTCCAGTAGTGCATGTGTACCGTTGGAACATCTAAACTAATGTCCTGCGATCCTGAGTTAGAAAAAACAAGAAAAAAAATCAAAAAATAAAAAGACTTAAAAAAGGACTAGAAGAGAAGGTACACTTACCCCAGGATGAAAATCATGCATCTGGGCCATATGGAATGCCTAGAACCCTTAAGGAATCTGCAAACGCAACAATATATGAAATCCACTTAAGTATCAACACCGCTGCCGTATAAGTCAATTCATTCAAACTAAATCCCGCCATCATTCAGATGATACAAAATAACTAGTTTGGGCAGACACCCACGGAAGGGCATAACCCCCATATAGCGAGCATTCTTGAACTATGCACCACATTTCGCTACAAGAGTGTCTCCAACAACGTTATTAGGCCAGTTTTTTCCCTTCTTACTAAGGGATATGGCTAAAAATGTAGCTTAATTCATAAGCCACGGGTTCCATCACTACTCGAAAAAAACTATCCCAGAACATTACTGAAAGATTGCTTATGATATGATGGCAAAAACATTGTTGAAAGATAAGATTATAGTATGCAGAAGAATCACAGATATGGGGGAGCCTTATCTCCATATGATCGAGAAAGAGAGATTGTTGTGGGTCCTTCCCACCTGAAGTCAACTGCCTTCATTGAATACCAAAATTTGATTTTCAACTGAAAAAAAAAGAAATAAAACCACCAAAAGTTAGAAGAATCCAATTTTTCTGCGCTTCCATTAGACTTTCCCTCTGCTCTCTCTAGTTGTGGTTCGCGAACACAGGAGGCCAAAGCGGCCTCGCTATTTTCGGTGGCAGCAATTAGCCTGATGACTTTGAGGCATTCGGCGACAGTAATTCTTCTCACTACTTCGAGGATTTCTTGGCAGCCGCATGAAAGAAATCCGGAATAAGGAGATTTCATTTCTCTTGAATTTGGTGAGATTAGCAAACCATTGTGTTTGATGGAGTTGATGTATACCACATATTTAGTGATGGTTGATTATCGATTTCCTCTAGTAGTGTTCTATAGAAAAAGTTTGTGTACCCACTAAACTGATTAGTGAAGAAATTTAAGTAGTTTATGGGTCTCGTGGTTTTTATTCTATTTGAGGCAGTTCCATGCTAAATTGGTTTTGTTTATTCTTGTCATTTGTTTAATCGCTTTCACTGTGTGGTGTTTGTGGTGTTGTGAATTTTTGGCTTGCCTCAATTTGATCCACACAAAAAATTAATTCAATCCAAGATCACCAAAAATTTGAATGTCTAAAAACGATTATGCAAACATGCAATAAATATATCCATGAATGCAAACACATACAATTTAACTCAACTTTGAGCTAGTTTGACCTGGTTTAAGCCCATATCAGCCCAAATTCAATTAATGCCAGTTTTTTCATGGTAGCTTGTTTTGCATAGCTGACCCCATTCATCTTACCAAAAGTTCATCCAATTTTTTAACAAACTTCAAAATTTCACTCAAATTCATGGTATTAGGCTACCCTAATATAATTGCATAAAGCATGCATTAGTTTTGATTAATGGCTGGTAAGAAGTGATCATTATCCTATATAGTGCTTTCATGCATCCTAAAAAGTAAAGGTAATCAGAATGAGTTTTGCCATAAGAATGAAAGGATGCTGGACAAAATAGTAGAACAGCACAGTATTTAAGCACAGAATTACCAAGAAAATATTCTCATTACTCCCAAAAAATAAAAAAAAATAAAAAGAACCTGGAATTGAGATCACGTCGTTGTGCATCGACTTGTAAGGTAACTTCTTGTCTCTCTTTGAGGTTGGATTCACAGTTAGCTTGAGAGTTATCAATGTATCCAAAATGAAAGACCTAATAAATTAAGCGCCTTACTTAATATGGGCTAATATGGTTTTTGTACAGCATTCAAAAAAGACAAAATTGTGGAGCATTTAACAGTTCAAGTAATAGCACAAACAAATTGCGTATTGGCCATTCTAAAGAAATGCAACATGCGCTAGATTGCTAGCTCCTTATTAACATAACCTGCGTGCTTCCAAGGACAATAAGCCTGCCATTTTACGGTTAATTTAAATCTTTTATCCAACAAACTAAAATATTTATATTTCACTAAACATATGCATATTATGGGGATAAAAAAATATAAAACAAAAAAAAAGTGTAAACTGTGCATGCATAACATTTTTCATGTCAAATGTTTTCATTGATCCACATAAATGCCACTTTTTTATATGTTTCATCCTATTTGATCCAATGAACTGCTAAACAAATGAAGCAAGGCCTAAAATTATGAAATCCTGCAACTTTTTACTCCAATGATATCCCAAAAAAAAAAAAAAGTGCAACGCTTCAGACCAATGATTGTGTCATGACATACTACAACTCTTGAATCTAATGATTGCCTCAAGGATATAAATCTCTGCCTATAAATTCACTGGATCACATCTTTAATCCATTAAAAAAAATATCTGAGCTATTCTCCTCAGATTAGGAACTCTAGGATAGGCATGGAGATCACTTTGAGAGGAACATTTTTCCCAAATTCATATTAGTGTTAGGGTGTGTTCTTGATATTTAGATTCATCACTGATCATTAAATTAACTTACGGTAAAAAGCAAATTGTTTCAAGTGATTTTACACCTGAATCAGAAGTGGCCCATTGTTGTTCAAAATTCTCTTCTAGTTGTTGAATAGATGAACAGCATGTAATAGTTTCTCTAGTCCCCTCCAAGTGCTGAGAGAAGGTTATGTGATATTGTTTTTTCGATGGAACAAGACAATGTGCAAAGATGATATGGTACTATCAGGACATTCCTAGAAGCCATACAATTTAAGTTAACATAGAACCTCTAGAAGTTTGTAGTTCATTAAAGCCGGTGCTAACAGTGTTTCTCCGTACAACATAAGAATGCAATCAGCTTTATATTAAAGGCAACCTGTACTGAGCACATTATTTTCGGCAGCTAGAAAGGAGATACAGCAGTGAAACAACATCCCAATTAAGCGTTTTCAAAAATCGCTGGGAATGGACAACAAACATTCCATTAATTTTTTCACTAATATGCTATGTTTTAGTGGAGCTCTACCTTACAGACCACTGGCGACAAGGCACCAGCTGGCTGCCACCCGCTGTTGCTTGGTGGCCACTTCCTGTTGGTATCGCCCACAGGCTGGCCATTGGCCACTGCTGCATCTTGCCACCCACCCACTATGCACTACCCACAGCAAGCTGACTGCCCCTGCCAGGTTTTATATTGATTCGCTACAAACTAAATGCAAAAAAGTAATCTCATGTATTTATTTTACACCTAACAAAATAACTAAAAAGTATTTCAAATTCATTACATTCTTTTTACACTGCATTCCTTTTTCAGCAAATCGAGTAACCCCTAAGTCAAGTTAATCAAGTCATTATGATAGCCAAAATTGTGTTCAACAAGTCATTGTTGTAAATCGGCTTGCATAGTTTACAACTCAGAACTCACTGGGCCTGAAGCAGCCCAAAGCCTCAAGTTGCCCAAAGTTGAATTTCATCAAGTTGCCCAAGATCAAGCTTAACTCAATTCTCATTACAAAGCTATTAAATGGCCCAAATAACTCACAAAGCCGCCCATCTGTTAAGGTGATTCTTCCAAAATAGCTAAATATTATCTGAGATACTCACCAATCAAATAAAAATCCCCATTTGAAGAATAAGGCAAGTGTATTTCCCTCAATTCGAAACTCCGCCTAAAACTTTGACCAACAGTTGACTTCAAAACAAATCGTTCAAGTATGAGTTAAATTTATGTATTTTCTATTTAAATATACAATTTAGCTAATTTTGTAACACTAATGTTGATCTTCGCATATAAATAAGAAGTCACTAGTCAAGCTCGAGCACATCAAACATGAAATTGTCCTATTGAAAGTTAAAATACTATAACCATAATCTATAGGATTCCCTTTAAAATGTCTCTCACTCTAAGCTGATTTATTATAGTTTAGAAGGCTCACCCTTCTCTGCTTGAGAAAATTCATAATTTTTTTCATAAAATGTTATTGTGATTATAGAACGGGTCAAACAAGATCAATAGAACTGAAGAGTAGAGACATTTTTTTCTAAGGATGGCACGAAATTTTAAGTAGCTCACTCCAACATGCTTGTCCTTTTCACCTTGATTCCATGTTTTAATTACATGTGCACTGGCTCGGTTAGTAATTATAATGATAGTTTAGAATTGATTAATTGGCAGGTCACTTTTGATCTTGAAAGTTCATAGATATGATGGCAGGTATTATGTATTAATGGGTGGTTAATGACTCCTTAGAAGTCTCGTATTTCCATAATTACTCTCCATTTGAGAGTATTAGGACATAAATAAATGAAATGAGGTAAGCCTCTCTCTATATTTCTGGTTCCTTCTTCTCCAAAACCCCAAATTTAGCTAAGTTGTCATCTGCAAGTCTGCCGTCCATAGCAATCCCAGTAACGGCGTTGTATAATATAACTGCTTAATATTTTTATAGAAGATTTTATTTGCAAAAATTCTGCTTCTAAGTAACTCCACAGACTGTTTTCCTGACAAAGTTTATATGACCTACTACAAGTGCAACTAAAAAGATCAGAGAAACAAATACTACTCCAAAACAAGATACCCTTGCTAAGATCATATCAAAGATGGTGTTTCGCATAATTATTGTAGATACTCACCACCCCATTGTTGGACCGGACATCCTCCACCACGAACGTGAAGCCCGAACAGAAAATGACCCCTTTGTCAGCCGGCTGCCCACCACCCTGAGGGTGGAAGATGGTTGAATCAAGGATCATCGCCAATCGGCCATCTACCTATAGTTAACAAAAAAAAGAATTTAGCTGCATGAAATGAATACATTAGGATTTTTCTCAATTAAAAGCGCTACAAGGTTGGGGGAGAGCGGACTGAAACCTGCTCGAATGAGAGGAAGATGGCGGTGGACTGAAGCACGTACATGTCCTCGAAGTAGGCAAGCTTCGTTGGACTCTGCTTCGCCATAGTCGTCGTCAGCCTTGTCGTTCAGGCACCTACTAGCTGGTACTTGTACCATCGCAAACGAGGTTCAGAAGGAAACCACTTTGAAAGTGCCCGGCGGCTCAAACATATGCTCTCGCTTCTTAATTTCCAAAAATGGGTAAATAAATAAATAAAAGGAGACAGACTAAAATATTACATCCCAACGCCGGACAAAAAGTTATAAGTTATGTTTAAGTCTAATGAAAATATGTCACATGTTTATTCGGGTCTCAAAGTCTAGACCCGTTCGGCACTTCAGCCCCACCCGCTGATAAAATTTTGTCGAGCAACCCGTCCAACATTCATCGCCCAAGAAACCAAAAAGTACCTTTTGTTGAAAGTGAATCCCGCCCAAAATTGATTTTTGGCAATTTCTTCTTCCGCCAGTCCACTAAAGACGCATTTTGTCGCGTTGCGTTTTATTCTTGCCTTTGGTGCAGATGCGATAGATTTCTCTCACGACAAAGAAATAGTGGTGATGAACTCATGAAATAATGTCAATGAGTTTCAATTAAAAATGAGTTTTGTTTAGTTTAATTTTGGTGTGTTTTTTTTATTAGTTTCGTGTTATGCTATTGTTAGTTAGTTTTTAGTTAGTTTGGGTGGTATTTTGGCATTATGGTAATGCTTAAGGTTGTTATTTTTTGTTAAAGGCTTAAAATTACTCCGGTGTTATGACTGTTTTTTGTGGTGTTATGATTTTGTTAGTTTATTATTTTATTAATGTTATTCGTATGTTATTATGGTGTTTAATTCTTTTGGTGATGTTATTCTGGTTTGTTATGTGTTATTGTTTAATTTTTTGTTATTGTAGTGTTATTGAGGTATTATTGTTGTGTCATTGTTGTGTTACTGTGGTGTTGGTATTAGTGTGGTGTAATTGTGATGTTATTGTTGTGTTATTGTGATGTTATTTTGGTCTTGTTGTGTTGTTGTATGTTTGTGGTGTTATTATGGTGTTAGTGTGGTTAGTGTGATGTTGTTGTCGTCGCATTATTATAGAGTTATTATTATGTTAGTGTAGTGTTATTGTTATGTTACTGGGTGTTATTGTGGTGTTAGTGTGGTGTTCTTTGGTGTTATTATGGTGTTTTCTTTATATTGGATCATCGTTAAATTGTTGTGCAAATTTGCAGTCTGGATATGTGTGCAGTGATGCAATAGCAAAGAAGTTTCTCTGCACCGTTGCTCACGATGATCAAGAAGCATTTTATGTTGTCGGTTTGGCTGCCCACATGGGGCGAGCATGGTCAGCCAATGATAGTCGGCACGACCATGCTCCCTTTATCAGTTGTTGATTTCCTAAAGGTAGCCCAAGGTTAGGAATCTCATGTGTGGCCGTCCTATGCACAGTCGAGTGATTTCCCACTGTGAGTTCTAGGTTTATATCCCAATGGGTTGGAATCCCAATTTCCTATGGCTTTGAAGATCCCAGCCTTCCTCAGAGGGGTTGGAGAGTTTGATCTTAAAGGATTTGTACACCATTTTGGGCTTGATCAAGTGTTGTTTTTTAGATGATTTGTACACTATTTTGGGCTTTATTAAGTGTTGTTTTGGAGAAGATTTATACACCACTTTAGGTTGATTACTTGCTATTTTGGAAAGAGTTTGAGTTTGTTTTGGCCAAGTATTCTCGCTATTTTAGCTCAAAATTATTGTTGTTTTAAAAAGAATGTGGATGTTATTGTTCATATCTATAATAACTTGTTGCATAGTATTTGAGAGCTTTGTAGTTACTAATTTGATCACGTAATTTGATTCTCACTACATGATATGCATGAGCAAGGTGACAGATATGAATAAACTAAAGTTTGGGTGTTAGAGAAATGTAAACACATAAGAATTGGGTAGTATGAGTGCAAATCTCTTTAACCTTCTTACATGTTTACTATAATACCAGTTGTGGAGGTGTTCAGTTCAAAATAGAAGTATTCATAATGTAATAGTATTTGTGATGAAAGGGCGCTATACAGATCATCAAGTGGGGCTATAAGATGGAGGTTTCATGGGTAAGAGCAATGATGATACAAGCATCTAAGTATGTATGATGACAGTATTGTACCTCCTAACCCCGAGGACCTCGCGTGAGGGTATAGGATTGACATTATTATCCTTCAACATTGGATAAAGAGTTGGCTTTGCTCTCAGGGGCTGCTAGTGATCCTAGTCAACAATGTGACTAACTCACGAACTGTCTGATTTATAAAATGTAGAAACATAAAATATAACATATTTTTTGATAAAATTTCTATTTTGCGTGTTAAATGAAAAGCTTAAATTATTTATATGCATGATAAATTAAGAATTATGAATGCTACTTTTTGCAAGTTCATGTGTCAGTCACATAGACTGGGTTGGGTTCAACCTCCCTTAATTGTCTTGCTGATAGCTTTTACCCTATGTTGGGTCTCACAGACATGATGCTAACAAAGTCATTAGGGCTTTGATTCTGATATGAGTCCACTCCCAACTTAAGTTTTTATACCCAGTTCTGATCTTCCATAAATATGTAACTTTACTTTTATATAGACATATACACATGTCTTTTATACTTGTTTAATCTTTCATAATATTTGTAAGCTCTACTTGTAATGCTAACCTCTTTCAGCAGCGACATCACAAGCTGCGAAAACGTACGCCATCTTTCCTTTTTACTGCACTTTTTTTCTTATTGTGTCTTGTTGTACATATTTTTTTTATACATGCAATGTTATTATTCTGTTATTTACAATACCTGTAAAAGACCCCTACTGTAGATGATAGTAGGCCACCTGTTTAGGAGGAACACTATAACAAGGCTCTGTTACTCAACAATAATAACAAACATCAACATAAATACACATGTCAAAATCACAACATTACAATAAAGAACTCAGAGCGAGCTTTCTGGGAAGCAACATGAGGATGCAAGCAGTAGCAGAAGACCTTCAGGTTGCGACCGAGACCACAACAAGAAGCGCAAGGTGATCCTCAACTAAACTTTCTGTAGTTTTAAATAACATACGCTCTTAGGACTTCGAGGTCGTTCTCCTAGCACGACGTAAATTCTCATACGATCATTTAGGCTTTTGTATGACTGTATTTCGTACTATATAAGCCTTGACTCTTTTAGGATTTTGATGTCGTTGTTTAGTACGACATAAATCCTCATATCTTCTTGGGTCATTTGCATGATCGTATATTGTGCATATATAAATCCTAAAATTCTAATAAATGACAGGAGTAAAATAATAGGATAGCTTAGGAAGTCATTAAGATCCTTTACGGATCTGTGACATCCCCTACTTATCATACCTTTGACCTTTAAAATAATTGTTCTTATTTGGTTCATGCCCACTTGACTTTTCCTACGAGCAACCATGAAAATTCAATTTTAAAATCTTGAAGACAAAACCACTTATCTTAATCAAAAGTTTTCTTAAGTGACTTTGGTCATTTAAGATGTAATTAACTATAGGTGTTTGATTCTATAAGGAATTAACCCATGTAAAATAAAATCTATCTAATCTTTATATTAGGTAGGAGAATTGTCGGTCATACAAAAGGTTCACAGACCAAACAAATGTCATGGATTATTTAGTTTTTATAATCGAGTCTGTCGATAAGTAGCATGTCTATCTCTGGGGTGGTGTATTACGCGTAGTGTTGTGCTCGATTATTTAGATTATTAGATATTTGAGATCTGTTTGGTCTCATATATTTTCAAAATTAAAATATTATTTTTTTTCAAAATCAAAATTATATATATATATATATATATATATAATAGCACAAGTGATATACCATCTCGAAAAATAAGCGTACCACTTAAATTAAACTAAATTCCAATTGGCGACCGACACCAAGAGGCTCATTCTTATTGGTTCAAACCTTTTTAGCTGTGGATCCCCTCCATTTCTCCCTTTTTTGATTAAATCATCACAACCCATTTTTTAAATCTAACTCTCCTCTCCTTCTTGGTTGTTCCCCTCCTTGTAAATACTTTTCCCTCCAGTTCTCTCCATCACTAACTCCCCGATCGTGAGCCCCATGATCCCATTTTCTCCATTCATTCCCTCCCTCTCCCTCTCTCAATTCCCTCAATTCCAAGCATCAAATCAAAATTATCCCCACTTTTCTCAGCAAAAAATGAGGGAAGCAACATAAACTGTGAGGATCGAAGGCCAAGGAAAGAAGCAAGGATCAAAATCAAGGAAGAAATTCAAAGGCAAGAAGAATTCAATTAATCCAGGAAGACATTCACACAAGAAAAGATATAATTTTTTTTATAATGTAAATTCAAAAACATTCCAATCTCTTCATGTTTAATTTTTTTTTGTTTCTATGTGTTAAATTTTGAAATCCCTCATGTTTCCTTCAAAATTTTTCAAAATCTTGCATGTTTCTCCATCCAAATCAAAGGGCTTTTTGTCTATGTGTTTATGTGTGTTACTTTGTGAAATTAGCATATTTATATTATCCATTTAGTCAAAACTGAAATTTCATGTATGTAACCATTGGGCTTTTGGTTTAATTTTCTTCTAATTGGTTTATTTAATATTGCTACATCTAACTCAACATATTATCATGCCCTTCATGTCAAAACTGAAACAATTACATTTGTAACCATTGGCCTTTTCATTATTCTATGTTCTATTGTGTTAATTGCAAGTTCCCTCTCTTTAATCATCAAAAAACGAAATGTTTTCTCCATTTAAATCCCAAAATTTATTGTTTGTTTGACGCTGCATATTCATGCGTTCGGCGTTTTCGTAACGTTGTGGAGGTGTTTGTTTAACGCGTTGGGGCCCGTGGTCGAGTAATGCACGTATGTTAAAATCTGTTCGATCGTTCGCCACTGGAAAAGTCTCGCGTTACGCGTTTAGGCTCAACTTATTACTCCTCAGCCCCTCGATCTCGTCTCCTCTGTCGCTGCCCTAGCTGTGTGATTAAGCTTCCCTGTTCTCGGCTCTCAATATCGTGCACCCCTCCCCTCTCCCAATTCCCGTTCGTTAGGTGGTGGATTGAAAGGTACCTTTTCTTCACGCTCCCTCATTGCATTTTCTTGAAAATTTTCTGAGAAGTTTGGTGGTGG